AGTAGTTGGACCCAGTATCTTTATTTTATTTATTTTTATGTGGTGCTGAGGATAGAACCGTGCACCTCACATGTGCTAGGCGAGTGCTCTACTGCTGAGCCACAACCCCAGCCCCACATTTCCTCATTTCAAAAATAACAAGAAATCTTTGAGGACTTGCAGTGCTGTGCTGAGGCTGGGGCATGATGTCTTCTGAATCAGCACTTGTCATGGTCCTGTGGCAGGGCTTTCCTGCTGCACTCTGGAGAAGGTGGTGCACATGGAAAGTGGCAGCACCTGGGCCTGGTGCCAGGGAATACTGGCACATTCCATATCCTGAGCATGGAGATCCGGGAGGCGTGGGAGGCACACTGGGCTGTGCTCAGGGGCCTGGTACCCCATCTTCCTGGTGTTGGGGGCCGGGTTTTACAGGGCACAGTCCCCAGGAGCCCTCCTGTCCTGTCATCAGTGCAGCCTTCCCAGCGGCCTCAGGAGTCCGGTTCTAGGCAGGGAATGAGCCAGGGAAGCGCCTGATGCCGCTGGGTTCCCACCCAGCTCTTGCTTTCAATGCTCAAGAGGCCAGGCTTGACCTTTACTGGAACTAGCAGGACTCTTTTTCCTTGTAAAATAATTTAGTCAAGATATTCTTCAAAGTCACTATTGGTGGTGAGGCATTCTGAGAAACTAGAGAGCAAGACCCAGGCACTTGTGCATTGACCATTTGGCTCTAAATGTGGCCCAGAGGGTGGCTTCTCCAGGGACCACAGTGGACATGCAGAACTCATCCTGTCTTCAGCCCAGGCCTGCTCTCAACCTGGCCTCGCCGTCAGCCAGCAGGCCCTTCCTGCCCTGGCCACCCAGTAGTTGTGGTAGGACACCTGTGCTGCACCAGTCACCTCCCAAAGACACCCTCCCCCCACCTCCACCACTCTGGGATGGGCTCTGCCAGGTCTCACCAAGGCCGGCACAAAAGGCACTCAGTAGGTCTTCCTGTAGGACCACTCTGGTTTGAGCACTCTGTTCTTTACAGGGCGTACATGGTTGCCTTTTAAATTCGTATTTAGAAATGTGACCCCTAACACACACCTTCAATGGCTTCTTGTCCCTTTTAGGATAAACAGCAAATGCCTTTTTTGATAAATCCTTCTGTAATCTGGTTCCAGCCATGTGCCCAAGCCATTCCATATCACAAGAGGCCCCTACCAAGCCTTACTGTCGGGCTACACTTGCCCCTGCAGATCCCCAGCTCCCGACGTCCCTCCCAGCACAGCTACTGTCACACACAGCCCTCCTGCTACACACAGGCTTCCCACTGGAGCCCTGCTCATCCTTCAGACCCAGCCCCAACATGCAGAGCTCGCCCTCCCCTGCAGCGCCTACGGAGCCCCTGGTGTGTACTCCTGCAGCCCCAGAACCCTACAGCCCTTTCCATGATATGGGGCCCATACTCACTGGGGTGATGATTATGTCAATAGCATCTGGCCCCAGGAAGGCATGGTTTGGTGGACGTCCCTGCACATCAGTGACCCCCTAGTCCCTGGCGTGGCACACCACAGGCACTTCATGTGATGCTGCTGGCACAAAGCTCTCTTCTGAAGAAGTGATACCTCTCTAAGGAAATGCAGTAAGAAGTGCTGGCCTCAGCTGTGGGCATCTGTCCCTGCTCTCCATCTTGGCATAGGGGGCTGAGTTGGCCCCACACCAGGGGCCCTGGGCCAGTCAACTCAGTGGTCTTAATTGACCAACAAACCTCCCGAGGTGAACACCATCAAAGTGCATCAAACTGATGACTTTTTAAAAGAAGGGAATTAACTTTTATTTGGCATTTAATCTATGAGCATTCAATACTGTGGGCTCCATGCGACCTGGAGAAATTCTTGATGCAAAAAAAAAAAAAAAAGTCAGCAAGAGGTCCAGGGTCCCAGGGCCCATCAGGCAGGAGCCAGGCTTATCCCTGACTCCAAAATCCACGTTTCCCTCGCTGCAGCCACATGGGCTGGGTGGCTTCTCGTGGGCCCCCCTGATGATTTTAGTTGTGCTTTCTTTACTAATTATGTTGTGAATAGCTGTGCTTCTTATAGATGGCCATTTTTTTAAACTTGCCTCACCCAGTGCAAAATTATGCATGAATTTAGGAGTCTGGAGAGCTTGGGTGTTTTTATTCGTGCGCATGGAAACACACAAGAACACCCCGGGAGCCTCGCATGTTGGGCAGCAGCCTGCCGCAAACCGGGCTGAGAAACATCACGGGAGTGGCCCGGCTCCGTGTGCCCTCCTGGGAGGTCAGACTTTGTGGAAAGAAAATCAAAGCTGTCCTTAAAAACGTAACTCTCAGATGACCACCATGAATAGATGGAATAGCAGGGAGACATGGGGGGCAGATCAGCCTTCATCTCTTCAGAGCAAAGCATTCATCCTAGAATAGGAATGCTGATAGTGCACGAGGTTGTGCCCCACTTCTGGGGGGCGGGGTAGCATCCTGGCCTGTTGAGTCTTGTGTGTGGGGTTAGAGGAGGGGCAGCTCCACTCCTGAACTGGGAAGGGCCTGCTGAACAGCCA